TTAAGTCTTAAAGTTCCTCGGTGTATGTCCTAAGAATCCAGTAATGTAATGTGAAGAAAGGTAATCTCTGTAGACATGTTGTAAGGAATGGACATCAGAGATGACTGCAAAATTTACACAAGTCTTGATGACACACTATGCTTTAGATATTCGGGTTGAAGAGGGTAAAGAGAGAAACATCTCCCATCGAGGCAGATTTTCTTCTCCAGAAGTGTCTTCAACACAAGTCCCTCGAAGACCGGGTATGCAAGCTTTCAAAGGTTGCAAGCATTCATCGTCAGGCAGTTAAATAAACACAAGAAAAGAACTGTCCTGGAAAAACACAATGTTTGGGAAGCTCCGCTTCCACAGGTGAAAAAAGAGCTTTTTCCAGATGTAAGTCCTCAACAACCAGTGTTTAAGTCTTAAAGTTCCTCGGTGTACGTCCGAAGAATCCAGTAATGTAATGTGAAGAAAGGGAATCTCTGTAGATATGTTGTAAGGAATTGACGTCAGATATGACAGCAAAATTTACACAAGTCTTGATGGCACACTATGCTTTGGATATCCGGGTTGAAGAGGGTAAAGAGAGAAACATCTCCCATCGAGGCAAATTTTCTTATCCAGAAGTGTCTTCAACATAAGCTCCTCGAAAAACAGGTATGCAAGCATTCAAAGGCTACAAGTCTTCACCATCAGGCTGTTAAATAAACACTGAAAATAAGAACCGTTCTGGAAAAAGACGATGTTTGGGAAGCTCCGCTCAAACGGGAGAAAATATTTTTTTTTCCATATGTAAGTCCTCAACAACCAGTGTTTAAGACTTTAAGTTCATTGGTGTCCGTCCGAAGAATCCAGTTATGTCATGTGAAGAAAGGAAAAATATATATATATATATATATATATATATATATATATATATATATATATATATATATATATATATATATATATATATATATATATATATATATATATATATATATATATATATATATATATATACAGTGTTCCCTCCCATACCGCGGTAGTTCGTTTCCAGGACCCGGCGCGAACCAGGAAATCCGCGGAGTAGGATCAGCCTATACATACATAGATATTTTAATATATTTTTACGCTTACACTGTATAAACCCTCCCTGCACTGTTAAAAAAACACCCTTTACATTATAAATAACAGCAAGCATCGTAATTTTTTATGAAAGTGATGGGAAAACTTAACGTGAATGAGGTGATGATGACTTGACATACATAGGTACAGTATTTTACAATAATTTTTACGTTTACGTAAAATAGCGGCCGACATCCACAAACTTTTTTCCTTCTTTCAACATATCTAAGAGTTTCACTTTATCTACAATGGTTAACATTTTCCTTTGCCACCTAGGCTCACTACAAGAAGCCTTAGAAGATGAAGGATGCTTGGGAGGCATTGCAAAGGTTAAAATATGCGAGTAAAAATATCACAAGCAAAACATATTAACAATAATAAGCCCAACATGAATGCCGCACACGAGTGAGGCGAGACAATGGAAGATGGTGGAAGCCTTTGTCTGAAACGCTGATAGCGGTATCGTATTTTACATGTTGCAATACTGTTAGTATTTATGTTTTTTACTATTTTTTACTCTTTTATTATTCTTAGGATAAGAAATACGTTTTTTTATCAATAAAATCATGAAACTACTGGAAATATAAATATATATGCTAGCTCACGTAGCTGCAACCCCAATACACTGTACGCTATTGAACACTATTTCGCATGATGCAATGTGAGTTATACTGCACTGCGTATATCATTCAGTTATTTGTACAATGTATATTAATTTAAAATTCATTTATTTATTTGATGATTGTACAAAATCTATTTTATTTATTCATTGTAATTTGGACCAAATATTCCTTTTGTAAAGATTATACTGTACTTTTCAAAAGAGGTGATCAATAAACGTATCTATCTATCTATCTATCTAAATTTATGTTTTTTTACTATTTTTTACTGTTTTATTATTCGTAGGCTGGGAAATAAATTATTGTTATCAATTAAATAATGAAATATGTTTTTTTTTTTCAATAAAAAAAATTTAAATACTGAGAATTTTTTGTTTTATATTTTAATATTTTTGCATATACCCATAAAATAAAATAATAATTTATAAAAAAATAACCGAGATTACACTGAGAACGCGAATCAAGAAAAGCGAATAACCGGGGGAACATTGTGTGTATATATATATATATATATATATATATTATATATATATATATATATATATATATATATATATATATATATATATATATATATATATATATATATATACAGTGTTACCCCGGTTATTCGCGCTCCTTGGTTCGCTTTCTCACTCTATCACTTTTTTATTTGGATAAATTATTATTTTATTTCATGGGTATATGCAAAAATATTTAACTATTAAAAAAAAAATTCTCAGTATTTTCATTTTTTTTTATTGAAAAAAACATTTCATTATCTAATTGATAAAAAAAAAATTATTTCCCAGCCTACGAATAATAAAACAGTAAAAAATAGTAAAAAACATATATGTAGATAGATAGATAGATACGTTTATTGACCACCTCTTTTGAAAAGTACAGCATAATCTTTACAAAAGGAATATTTGGTCCAAATTACAATGAATAAATACAATAGATGTACAATCATCAAATAAGTAGATGAATTTTAAATTAATATACATTGTACTAATAACTGAATGATATACGTACGTACAGTATAACTAACAGTATTGCATCACACGAAATAGTGTTCGATAGCGTACAATGCATTGAGGTCGCAGCTACGTGAGCTAGCATATATATTTATATTTCCAGTAGTTTCATGATTTTATTGATAAAAAAAACGTATTTATCAGCCAAAGAATAATAAAACAGTAAAAAATAGTAAAAAACATAAATACTAACAGTATTGCAACATGTAAAATACGATACCGCTATCAGCGTTTTGGACAAAGACTCGTTCAGTCTAACTCACATGTGCGCCGTTCACGTTGTGCTTATTAAACGTTTTGCTTGTGTTCGATAGCGTACAATGTATTGGGGTCGCAGCTACGTGAGCTAGCATATATATTTATATTTCCAGAAGTTTCATGATTTTATTGATAAAAAAACGTATTTCTTAGCCTAAGAATTATATAACAGTAAAAAATATTAAAAAACATAAATACTAACAGTATTGCAACATGTAAAATACGATACCGCTATCAGCATTTCGGACAAAGGCTTCCACCATCTTCCATTGTCTCGCCTCACTCGTGTGCGGCATTCACGTTGTGCTTATTATTATTATTATGTTTTGCTTGTGATTTTTTTACTAGCATATTTTAACCTTTGCAATGCCTCCCAAGCATCCTTCATCTTCTAAGGCTTCTTGTAGTGAGCCTAAGCGGCAAAGGAAAATGTTAACCATTGTAGATAAAGTGAAACTCTTAGATATGTTGAAAGAAGGAAAAAAGCTTGTGGATGTCGGCCGCTATTTTACGTACACGTAAAAATTATTGTAAAATATGGAACCTATGTATGCCAAGTCATCATCACCTTATTCACAGTAAGTTTTCCTATCACTTTCATAAAAAAATTACGTTGCTTGCTGTTATTTATAATGCAAAGGGTGTTTTTTTAACAGTACAGGGAGGGTTTATACAGTGTAAACGTAAAAATACATTAAAATATCTATGTACATATAGGCTGATCCTACTCCGCGGATTTCTGGGTTCGCGCCAGGTCCCGGAACCGAACTACCGCGATAAGTGAGGCAACACTGTATATATATATATATATATATATATATATATATATATATATATATATATATATATATATATATATATATATATATATAAATTTCATTTATAGGAATGGCAATATAAAAGTAAACAAAACTCTTTTGTCATTGTGAAACTCATTAAAAGAAATTCTTGTTTACACAATCTTCCAATGCGAGTGGATGACATCTCTATCGTGACAGAAAATTTTTTCAGCCTAAACTTTCTATCTATCTATATGCATGAGCCATGTTCCCCTTTATAGGGGAGTTGCTGAGTCAAAGCAAAGTACCTTGACTCTCTATGGGGAAAATGATAGATTAGGGAATTCCCAGTCCCCTCACTCTGCCCCATTTAGTCTCTTACGACACGCAGGGAAACGAGGAGGAAGTGTTCTTGCCGCCTCTCACTCAGACCCAAATGTTTTACTTTAACTGCCACTGCTCGTGATTTAAATACTATACAGTATAAGATAGACAGTTTTTTTTTTCCCCCGTCCCATAAGTCTAGTTTAAACCTGACTGTTTCAAGGCACAAAAAATTAAATTTTTCACATAGTCACACCCCAGGATGCAGAGAGGAAAGTAGCAGCACCTCTCATCTTCTAGTCTCTGGTGAAATGGCAGGCGGAACCCTCCTGGCTAGTACAGTAGTAATGCGCTGGCCTTGCATTCGGGAGGTCGACGGATCGCGCCTCGTCAAGGCAAGAGAGGTTAAGCTGTTTACTGGGGAGGTTGCTGCTTTGGCTGGGCACCACAGTGGGGGGGTTTGGGACTGTGCTGGCTGATGCCCACCCTACGTGTCCCTCATGACCCATTCCACCCATCCTTGGGTGGAGTATCTATAAAAAAAATAAGGCATGCGAAACAAGGACATGAAAGGTTAGGGCAGGAAATTACGGAACCATACGTATAAAGATTTCAGTGCAAAAGCAGCGTATACTCCCTTCCAGTTGTTCTATACAGTATACGTCAATAAATATCAATCAAGGTAAATGTAATTAGAGACGTTTTTAATACATAAAACTTAGGTTCATTACTTCAGCTAAGATACTGATGACAAAATTCTAACATATATATGGGCATAACCCAATATTGCGCCATACGGTTTTATGCTACGAACTTTTTTCTATTACAGGGCTAGGATGATGCCTTCTTTCGAAGGACTTTGGCTTTGGCAAGTGCAACTGTTACCCAGAGTGAGTGCCCTTTCTAACCTAAAACCGTGGTGGGTCTCGAACCCACGACATGACAAATCACAGTCGCATATGTTACCAACCAGTCCACCAAGGGAGTCTAACACATTTCCACGTCAAGTAGTATGAATATTTATTTTAGATAAGTAGGGTGAAAAATCGTCTCAAAAGAAAATTCATCCACAAGTTTCAAACTCACAAACATTTCTCATAACGAGTCTTTGACACAACACAGGACAAATCAGTGGAAAAAAGTTATATGACATATAAATATACTCACAAATCTACGTCGAGAATTTTGGACCACAGGAGTCGTTCGGACCTGGAAAATGGGAGGTAATAATATGAACGAGACGACCCTCTTCTGGTCAAGATGGAGTTGCAGGATCTGACACAACAGAAGAAGGAATTGCTATCGGCTATCTGTAATAGCAAACAAATATATAATTAATAGTATTCATGATCCTCTTAAACTACCTCTCCTTTCTGCATTTACAATCATTTACTATCATTCAGTATATATAAATACTTCTTTAATTTACAATAATACTAAGTACCAGCTACATCATATTGCTGGTGTTCCCCTGTATATGGCAGAAGTCAAAGAAAAGAGGGGACTCGAAATCCTCCCTTGCCATTTTCATCCCACAAAAAGTCGAGGCTTATCAAGAGGATTCTGTAGAAAAACATCAACCTGAACTCTAGTCGTAATAAAGGGTCTAAAATGAGCATGGTGCAGAAGATGCCCAAGTAAAACAGAGGAGATTGGTAGCAATTTTTTAAGAAAATAGAGGAATGTGTTAGCATTAAGAAGAACATAGTTGGAAGGGAACAGTAGGTGCAGCTGGCAGTGTGGTTGGGGGAATTTCTGGATTTAGTGAGAAGAAAGATGGAAGTGTTAGCAGTGAGAAGAACAAAATTAAAAGGGAACTGTTGGTGCAATTAGGAGAGTGGTAGGGAGAGTGTCTGGATTAGAGAAAAGGTGAGAAAGAGAATGAATGGCCCAGCTGAAGAGTGACGAGATGTATATTCTTTAAGAAAGTCCTTTTCCTACTGGTTATCATTCTCTTATTTCTGCCTTGTCCTTGAGATGCCACTTTTTCTTCTCATGTGTTCTCATGATGCTCGGGCCCGGTGAAGGCGGTTTTCTTTGCTCGTCCAAGTGTCCATCCATAAAAAAAAATTAAAGTGTATGATTGAGTAGAAGAAAGAGTCATCAAAGACTAAGAAGGTAATAATGAGACTGGGATGTGAGACGTGGGAGTTTCGAGAATGTGCATAATCCTGGTGAGAAGAGAATTGAGGAAGAAAGAAAAAAGGTTTTGGATTGATTTGTTTTATAGTGTGGAGAGGTTTGGATTGAATATGAATATAGTGCTGTTTAGATTGGAATCCTGGAGCAGAGATGAGCGTGTGGATATTATAACTGAGAAGTAAGGCGCACCTGGAAGGAAGGGAGTGGAGAAGATGAGCAAGAGGATGTTATAAATGAGACTTTAGGTGCACCTGGAAGGAAGGGAGTGGAGAAGATTAGCCAGTGGATGTCATAACAGAGAAGTAAGGTGCACCTAGAAGGAGAGGAGTGAAGATGAGCCAGTGGATGTTATAACTGAGAACTTAGGTGAACCTGGACGGTAGGAAGTGAAGAAGATGAGCCTGTAGATGTTATAATAAAGAAGCAAAGTGCACATACAAGGAAGATAGTGGAGAAGATGACCCTGTGGATGTTATAACTGAGAAGTCAAGTGCACCTGGAAGGAAGGGAGTGGAGAAGATGAGCCTTTGGATATTATAATTGAGGTCAGGAGCACCTGGAAGGAAGGGAGTGGAAAACATGAGCCTTTGGATGTTATAATTGAGGTCAGGTGCACCTGGAAGGAAGGAAGTGGAAAGAACCATACAGTGGTGAGTACAGAGAGGATTTGGTGACTGCAAGTACTGACTTTAAAAAGAAAGATGAGCATATGTACACTGGGTCAGACGTAGAGTAGTTACAGAATATTTCCGTGTAGTAGTGGTAGCAAAGACTGTAACTGAAAGAGTACTGGATGTGAATATGCTGCAAAAAGGTATCAAGAGAATGCCTGACCACTATCTGTTGACAGGAAGATAGAAAGTGGAAGATATATGTAAAGAGAGAGGAAGGAAGAGAAGTGGTAAAATTGAGTGAGTTGAATGATAAAGTGAAGATAATGAGTACCAGGTGAATGCGTAGAATGTAATGAAAAAGAGGGTAGAGGAGGGAGTGGAAGAAAAAAAAAGGTGTTTTATGGAAGAAGTATTGAAGTGCGCAGTTCTGCACAGAATTAGACAAATGGGTGGAAGCATGGTAGGGTAGGGAAGCACATGGTAAGAGAGACAAAGGGAATAGCGGAAGAAATGTTGGGCAGATGCTCGTCTGTGAATACTGAACGGAATATAAGAACGTTTGGAAGAAAGTGATAAGAGTGTGTTGCTTGTGGGTGAGAGGGAGACAAGAGGAGGATGGGGTGAGAATTTTAAGAAGTTGAATGTGGAGGGTGATAGAGAGAACATGATTGCAGCTGTGGGAGGCATAAGGAGAATATCAATGACAGGTAAGAAGAATGACAGGGCACTGACATGTGAGGACGTAAGACTGGCATTGAACGTATTGAAAGTTTGTAAGGCCATGCTCAGATGAATGTCATATGACATGACTATCAAAAGGTGAAGACATAATAGTGCAATGTATGGTAAGATTGTTGAATGTGATTTTCATGGCAGTTGTAGTCCGTTGTGATTAGAGGATGCATATATAGTTCCACTACACAAGGGGAATGGAAACTAGCATGAATACAGTAATTTTTGAGGAATTAGTTCGCTGAGAGTGGTTGGTAAGGGTAAGATTGCCTTGAATTTGAAAGTTAGCTCTTGCATCTGGGAAGACATGTGTACAAGAAGCAGTTAGTGAAAGATAAGGATGCTTTTTTGGTAATTCGTGGACTGAATAAAGCGAATGACACAGATGACAGAGAAGCGTTGTGGAGAGCATTGCAACTGTGTGAAAAAGTAGGATCTCTACTAAAAGAAGTCAAAAGTATTTACATGAGTAACAGAGTGCATTTAAGTTGGGAATGGTAAGAGAAGAGTCTGTTTAACAAATCAGCGATAGTCCCATGGTTGTTCAAAGTGAATCTAAAAGTGCCAGGCAACGGTTGAGAATTATTGGGTAAGAATGGAGGGTGATTCAACTGTTATTTTCCCACAACAATCTATTACTGGCTGATTATGTAAGGAAAATGAAACAATTGGTGACTGGCTATGTGGAAAAGAAGGATGTAATGAGTGACTGTGGACCAAAAAAATTTTGAAATGTTGGAAGTGGCAAGTTGAATGCGAGTGTACAGTGAGATACTTGAGGAAGTGGTGGGTTTTTAAGCAATTGGAATCACAAGTAGCAGTGAATCGAAGCGAGTAAGAGTCTAAGTGGAATGAAGTGATGAGAACTAGGTATTTAAGTACAAGTGCATATAGATGGTGAAAAGAGTGATTGTGTTTATGGTATTTTATGGTGCAGAGATTTGGAATATATGAGAGATAAGATAAAGATGCTTGGATCTCTCTGGAAGTGGAACTTCCTGGCCTTTGTCTTTGAGAGAACTATCTCTCTATCACTCTGTTCAACAGGGATATCTGGAACAATGGGTCCTGGAACCTTGTGTAATAATTAAAGTCCTCTCTGATGCTTAACTACTACACAAATCATAAAGTATGCAGTATTAATGAATTCCAATACAGTAATAATAATGCAATAATACAGTACAGTACAGTAATACATACATAACACATGAGTAGATAATGGGTAGGTTTTTGTTCATATCTGTGAACGTTTGTAACTATTATTCGTAAGTAGGGGAGCTTCTGCATACTGAAAGAAAAACAAATAAGTATCAATTTCATTGACAGTACTTATTTACAAATTGATCAAATGTTTTCCAAGTTTTAATGTAAACACTCTTAATGCCTGTCATTCATATTAGACCAACAGTATAGAGAAGTGCAAGGGATTATTAGTCTATATTTTAAAAATAGAATGGAACTATTCGGTACCAACTTTTTCGCTCAGCTCTTTTGGCGCTGAAATGTTTTGGAGTTGCCCTTTGGGCACGAAGCTATTCTGGATAGGTTGGGTTAGGATAGCTTAGTGCCAAAAGGGTAACGCCAAAACATTAGCACCAAAAGAGTCATGCCAAAAGGGTGTTGCATAAAAGTACTCTAACCGATTAAAACAACTAGTCAGTAAGTATGGAGGCTCTGAGACTGAAGTTTTTTTTTTACCATGTAAAGTATTTATGGATACAGCCAGAGAAATACAAATGAACACTCAGTGATTGTAAGAGAGAACAATGTGGTCTCATAATTATGCAAGTCATACTCCAAGAAACAGCAGCTGCAAATGCTAATCGCTGTATTGGAGAGATTAAATTACCAATTAACCTAAACTAATCATGTATTATTACTTTTCAAAACATTTCAGTTTCTTAGACAGACCCTATGAAGCAATCATTAAAGAATCCAAAGAGAAGAAAAGTTACAATGAGTGTATTTTTCACTCCCAATCCACATAAGTTATCATGTGGCTTCTAAAGCAACGAATCAATATTTCTTGCTAATTCATTAATAAATTGCTATTCTAGCTATAATCTCAATTTACAAGCCCGAGTTCACAACAACAACAGAAAAACAACTGCACACATTTATTACCATTTGCATATATTATCAATTACAGCAATAAGAAAATAACAAGTATTGGCATATATCAAATATATTGAACTTTAATTCATTTATACCACTTGAAGCACTATCAATGCAAGCATCATTCCTATCTGCTAGAATATATTAGGAGAATTACTATTTTTCATATATGTTGCTCTTCACCAGGGTGGAAAACAGCACACAGAAGAACAAACACAAAAATGCATGATAATAACGCACAAAAAAATGAAAAGAAGTGTCAATGGTAGATACAAGCAGGATTGAAGGTAATATGTGATAATAAGGATAATAAAATCCAATGGAAAAAAAATGGAAAAAAAAAAAAAAAAAGTGTATACCTTCACAAGGGACACAAGTT